TGGTCATAATCTAATAGCTTCCATTTCCTTCTATCACTCTATTTTCATTAGATTGCAAATATATATTTTTTTTTTGTTATGGTTGCAAATCACCCATAAAATTATTACCACTAAAGAAAATAAACACTTGGCTGACAAAAAATTAATACTTCTTCTCGAGTCAAATCAGTTGCCTCAACGGACAATTTTTGCTAGTTGCAGAAGCTCAATTTTTAAACAGTAAAAAATAGCCGTTGCAACAGAGAAACACAAGCAACAGAGAAACCTACTTCAAAAACTTTTTCTTCCTTTGCTTATATTATTTTCTCCTAGATTCTTTGCATTCAAATCAGAAAGCTTCAGATTGAAAATTTAATCCGAACTTCTTCTCCTATCCATAAGCAAGAGAAGTGGATTCGAAACCTGTTCATCACAAATAAAGGTTTGATATTTCTAATTATTTTGTCAAAATCATCCTATATCATTTTCTTATCATTGAAGCTTCATTGTTTTGACATCGTACTTAGGATCGTCTTGAAATCGTTCTTAGGATTTAGATTTAGTAATAAAAAATAGACTATACATATTTTCCTCTCGCGATGGTCTATATTGTCTTTGAGAAACTTGGTTTTGGAGATAATTGAAATAATTGCATGATTAACTAGTGTTTTTAATACTCTTTGTAGCAAGTTTCTTGTTTTGTTTGTTCTCTAAATATTTGATTGTGTTTATAGCCAAAACAGAGTTGACAATACCATGTTTTCTCGGGTTTAATTCCAATATGTTATATTGTTCACTCAACTAAATAAAGATTGTTTCTTACACAGGAGATGACTGCTGCTCTAGTTGATGGACATGATCAAGTCACACTGGTCACCATAATCTCTAACACAATCGGTGGAAAAAACAGAGAACCGAAACAGGTAATTTTCAGGCTAAAGTGAATAAGATAGTGACTCTGTATATGCTATAGTTTGATTCTAGACAAGATGTTTTCTGTGCGTTACATTCAATATATCTATTATGATCTATTTCTACAGGTTGATCCTCTTACTCATCAAGTCAAAATCTGATGACTTTGGCAGTGCGAAACAGTTTTGACCATGGCTTTAAGGCTCTTTCTTAAGGCATATTGGTATTCGTAAGATTTTGTTTATTCTCCTTCTTTCATTAGTCATTTGTATAAGGTTAGATTGTTGGATTAGTCATAAACTTGGATGCTAAATTGCATAATTGTGAAAACCAACCAAACTTGGTATCCCGTCTTTTTATTAGTTTCAATTGATCGTTAGAGGTATCATAAGTTTAACTTGTTATCACACCTAATGTAAATTTAGCATTCTAGTTTATGACTAATTCGTAAGATTTTTCTTCATTGTGTATAGTTTTAGGTTTGATGGATTAATCAAAAAACTTGAGTGCTAAATTGCATAATTGTGAAAACCAACAAGATTTAGTATCCCGTCATTTAAATAGTTTCAATTGATCGTTAGAGGTATCATAGGTTTAACTTGTTTTCACACCTAATGTCAATTTAGCATTCAAGTTTTTGAGTAATTCCTAGGATTTTATTCTCTTTTTGTATTTTTTTTTTCATTAGAAGAATTTATATATTTTACATTTGAAAACTTTTGTAGAATTTTTTGTAAATATCATCTTATCGTAAGAAGTATCTAATTCCAGTATATATAATGCAATTAAGTCATCCAAAATAAACTTAGCTTTAAACAAGAGCGAAAGCACCAAATTCAACAAGAAAATTAAATAACGCAGAGATAAAACAACAAGCTCAAAAGAAGTAAGTATAAAACATACTAACGAAAACAAGAAAACAAAATCAAGAAATCCAAATAGGGTGAAGTAAAATATCCTCTTTTTTTTTGAGAAATTATAAAATATCCTCTTAGTGTTGTGAGTTTTATTTTCAACATCCCCTTGTAAATGCTTCAAACCTCATAACATATGCTAAAAATTTAGCTAATATTTGTCACTGAATGGTTTCAAGATTCATTTTTAAATTGAGGATATTCTTGTTCACTTACTTAAACACTGCTAATGAGTTATTTCCGTTTAACGGATCTCTACTTCTGATTTTGGTCGGATTTTGTTTTCTCTTTACATGAACTGCTTATGGTGCTGCTTCTGAAATTTTCACTCCTTTTTCTGGTACATGTCCTCTTTGGCTGGGAGTTTGATCTCCCCTATATCCCCAACTTGAAGCCTCGATGTAAGGTAGTGGGTGATTGGCTTTTGCAATGACGGTCGATGGTCTTTATCAAGGTGGTGAGATGTTTTCTGGGCAACATGCAATGGTTCCGTTCTTGTAAGAAGATTTGGTGGTTTTCGGAACCCGGTCGCCGGTGGATCGTTGATGTCGGCGCTGCAATATGATAGTGGACACTTGTTTGCTCTTGTGCTTATCTTTTAGGTTTCACTTTGGGTTGTAATTGGGCATTTGATTTCACATTGTAATGCCCAATCGACTTATTTAATGAAATAACTTATTTAATTTCACATTGTAATTGGACTTATCTAATGAAGTAACTTTGGACGCCAAAAAAAAAAAAAAACTGCTAATGAGTTTGCATGCATGTTAGGATTTTAGACATATGCATGTACCAAATTTCACTCAATTTAGCAAACCCTTTAACAAAATTTTTGTTTTTTTTAAAGTTATCATCAACGTAGTATACCTTTTCGAAAATTTTATTCAATTATAATTATAAGTCCAAACTAAACTTTATAGTATACTAGAATAGCACCAGCGTTAATACGCGGGTAAACACATTAAAAATTATTAATATCAAAATTTTAGTTTTAATTACTAATTCGTTAAATTATGAAAA